TATGTGATAGAATTTCTATAAAGCGTTTGGTTTTTATATCGATTAGATTGTTTTAACAATTTAAAAATATTTGGAGACAAGGTAATATTGTTAATTAAAAAATAAATTAAATACAATATTTTGATAAATCTAACTTGTTAAATCTCAATACGAATTTAAATACTAAAAAAATATATAACTAACTTAAAAATAGACAACAAATCATTGCAGATATAAATAAACCTTACAAAAGACTAACAAACAATAAACGTATAACGATAACTTATAACATCTTTACTACCAATGGTGTTACTTATTTGACATTTTACTTATGACAATACTATAACACCATTCATAGCGAATTTAATAAATTATCAAAATCACAGAAATTAAATCAGGAGTTGAATTAACTAAAGTTGTAACTTAAGGAATCCGTCAGCGCGCAATCACCGCCCCCAAGACGAGGGCAGCGAAGACAAAACCAGTTGCAGACGTATGTATGTATCCTGTGTTGCATTCATCCGACTCGCAGCAGAAGGTTCGGGCCCCCCACCATTCTGTAGAAATAAAACTTTTACAATAAACTGTATTTCCACTAGGTTGTGCCGCGCGACTTTTCCCAGCGGCTTGAGGACTTATTTCCACTGGTTTGGCCGCTATACAAAAATGGAAATGGAGTCTTTTTAAGAGTGTGAACACACTTTTGACTAGACTATCGGATAGTTTAGTCTCGCTTTGATTCCTATGCCCTTATATGGAGGTGCACACTACTCGATTTTTAGTTGTGCAACTAAACAGTTGAATTGGCTATGAAACAATCGACAATCGCGCATTTGTCTGATAGTTTAGTCAAAGGTGCCCGATATAAGATATTAATTTTAATGTACAAAATTATTAGCTAAATGATTTATGTATATCGTAAGTATTACCTTTCTCTGTGCATGTTGGTACGCAGTCACGGACAACTGTCAGCTCACTCACGTATTTCTGTAACAAATGTTCATATTACAAAAACTGTAATTACGTCTTTTCATTGCAATTATTACTATTAAATATATTACTATTCCCATGCGACTTCATCCGCATAAAATTACAAAAAAAATATTTTATTGTTCACATTTGTGAAATTATCAGTTGCAAATTTCAAATGAAATGACATGACAAACCTTGGCAACCTTGCTTCCTTGATGTTGGCAGCAACTTATGGTCTCTTTCCCACATTAACGTTTTTATCCAAAACATTTACCCCTAAGTTTAACGGCGTGAAAATAAATAGCCTAAAGCATGACGAAAGTGTAGGGCTTTTATTAAAAAAAGAATTACTTAAAAATATGCTGTAATTGCTGACATCTTAGGCAACAAACAAGTGTGTGTTTACGCTTTATTACAATAGTATAGAGTATAGATAAGTAAATAAGTGTATAAGTATAGATTAAATAATGTAGATTTAAAACACAAAGTCTACTATTTATAGAACATCAAAAAACTTGAAAGATAAAAGGTGAAGTTTATTAGAACCCCAAAGATTTCTGGATCGTAAATTATCTTGATCGACGGCTCACCGATTTGATTAAACTACTCCGTCAAATGAAATGATGCTGTCATTGATCAAGGGGAAAGTTTCCTTCGAAATTGGGAATATATCTATATCTATACTAATAAAAAAAAGCGTAAACACACACTACTTTGTAAGATGTCAGCAATTATAGCATATTTTTGAATAATTAGTTCTTTAATAAAAAGTTCTACGCTTACGTCACGCTTTAGGATATATATTTTATACGCTATTAAACTTAGGGAGTAAATAAATTGGAAACCTTCATGTTGCAAAGAGGCCATAAAGTACAAGCTGCCAACATTAAGGAAGCAAGGTGTTATGGTAACGGTAATTTTGGCATTTGCAATTGAGAATTTGACAAATGTAAACAATAAAATAAAGTTTTTATAATTACATGCGGATACAGCTGGTCTACAATAATATTAATAATATGAGAGGGTAACTAAATCCAGTAAACTTACAATGCAGTATTTAGCAGCAGGCGGGCAGTCAGCAAGCCGCGTGGCGCTACGATTGTTGCAAGGCGTGATAGAGCCAACTCCATCACTGTACTGGCCGCACTGCCAGCACTTGATACCAGTCGCTGTACCAGCCACCAGCACGACCAGGATCACGCACAACCACGCGCTTGACATACTGCTGTAACATAATTATTATCTTTCCACATCTATGCTACTTAATATTATAAAGAAGAAAATTCGTATTTTTGTATGTATTGAAATAACTCAAAAACTACTTGGCCGATTTTAAAAATTCTTTCACTATTAGAAAGAAAATGTATCTGTCAGTAGCATAGGCTATACTTTTTATTATTTCTTAATTTTACGCGGACGAAGTCGAGAGCAATAGCTATTGTATATTACACGTCCAAAGGAGTACCAATTATTGTTACTTTTTACAAATCTTTTTATAAATTAATTACAATAAAAAAGAGAGATTAGAGATAGAGATTGTGTTACATGGATACGATTTTCTTCTGGAAATATAAGGCCAGGACATTGATCTGTATAAATGGATGGGCGATATAATGTTAATGATAATTAAATCTATTACTATTATTAATTAGAAAACTCCCTACCGCGATCAACCATAACCATACATGCTAAAATTGCGTAAATTGCACAAAATAGCTTATAGTCTGTCTATTTATAGAGGTCAGTAGGCGATATGCGAGTAACTAGCAAGTTGGTATACCAGGTTAGCCAGTGGGTAAACGCATTGTTCCAGTAGTGTCAATACCAGATACTACGTTTTACTGGCATGTGTACTTACGTCGTCGCTTCGCGTCGTGTTTTGTTTCGGTAATCTTTGAGCTATATAGAAATAGCCTACTGGTTCCAGTAGCCGAATTAACATTTAACAAGCTTTTCCATTGTCGAGTTCGTAGGCACATTCTTTGTCATTTAAATTTCAGTGGGATTTAATTTAACAGTGTTCAACGCTGCGGTGTTTGATTGTGGTTGATAAACGTTACACTGTACACAGACGTTAAGCAGTTACTTAAAATATCTTAATCCACACTAAAGGAATCGTATAGAAACCATCAAGGAGTATTCCAGTAAATCGTATTAGAAACATAGACCGACAAACTTATTAAACTCGGTGGGCATAGATGAAACAAATTACGACACCGCATTTCCGTCAATTTAAAAAAAAACATACAGACGAATTGTGTACCTCCTTCTTTTGGGAAGTCGGTCAAAAAGTATCAATTTTTATTGTATATCATGTAACTTTGTTTATTTTATCTGTAATTATATATATGTGTTTTTTGATAGAACTAATCGCGATAGCAGCTTCACTGACCTCTTAAAATGGACAGGCTATGATCTATGCATTTTGGTATTGATACTTAAGGTTGGTTGAAATACCTAATAATGTTAATAAACTAAACTGTGATTAACATCAAAAGGCACGTGTAAGTAGGAACGAAACAAAAGAATTTACCAAATAATCACCTAGCCATTTATACAGATCAGTGGCAGCGCCTAGAGAGGCCGGACTATCGTTCTTTAACAATAATGTTTCCAGTCTTTTAAATATATGTAACAGTCTTAACCTGCCCTTGTACCTACAGAGGGTTGGCACAGTATGTGCTGCACCTCTATACCTCTTTATCAGCCGTCAATATATTATAGTAAAGTGAATAAGTAAATAATTGAAAAACTAAGAGACAATGTCACAAACATAAGATATCTTTATCCTTATCTTATTAGAACTCCAGCCGTATGTTTATTTATATTCCATTTACCTTAATGGAACATAAGGAAAAAGGAGAAAAAACATTTTCTTCTAACATATGTTTCGTTATCGTAAATTATTACCGTGAAATTATACTGTAGGAACTCTTGTATTGAATATGGTATCTCTTTCGTCTTCATAGAGATAGAAAGAGATGACTTCCACGTACAACTTGACAGCAAATGGAAACAAAAGACGTAATTGTTTTAATGAAAACTGGGTAAATTATTAACGGGAACACATTTGTGCGATTGTCGATTGTTTCTCAGCCAATTCAACTTTTAGTATTAAATTGTTACAAAGTAAACGCATATTTCATTCAATATGGAAACTTTGTGTTTAAAAAATAAACACGTATTCAGATTCCTACGAACGTTTTAATTAAGAGAAAATGTGCGGGTCAGGAACCCTAATTAAAGTATACCTTTTTTGTCCCTTTGTAATAATATGTAACTACGTCAGTGCTAATCATATACATAAAAGAAAGATATAGTCGACACAACCATAAACATTTTTTTCACCGGTACTTTCCCTGAAAGGTACTATATCAATTAAGTTTAGTGTCACTGCATGTCCTTGTATTGACATGTAATAAAATATTTTACAAAATTTTAATAACCTCCGTCTTTCTCAGAGGACGGGGAAAAATCCTCTTTATGTCCGTCTCCTCGTTACCCACTTTATAATGTAAAAAATATACATTTTCTTCCTATTTTAACTACAATTTTAAGGCTAACAATTTAAGATAATGCTGTCAAAAGATAATTTAATCTTTAGGTCTGTGAAGGCGTGAATTGAAGCCGCATTTATATCTTCAAAGATTTAAATGACAATCGTACTTAGCCGCGGACGGCGGACCGCAAGCTCGTGACGAGACATTTCAAAGCGTTTTGCTTTTTTCCCTTTTTAATTTAGCACATTTTTGCTAGGTTTAATTTTCTTTTTTGGAATATCATCTAAAATCTTTGAAGATTACTGTTAATACAATTTTGTAATTGGTTACCTGAGTTTTAGAAATGACGGTTATCTTACTAATTGTTATTGAACTTTATCGAAAAACTTGCTATTACTCTCGACTTTGCCTGCACGAAATTAAAAAGTAATAAAAAATATAGACTATGTTACTCATTGATAACGTATCTTTTTAATAGTGAAAGAATTATTTAAATCGACCAAGTAGTTTTTAAGTTATTTCAATACATACAAATGTCCAAAAATACAAATCTTTATAAAATATTTGCATATATATAAATATAGACAAACATTACAGTTGTTTTATGTCTGAAAAGTTTTAAAATCATTTACCTGATATTATTCAAATTTGGACAAATTCACAATCGATCCGCAACATAAAATAACATTCTATTTTGAATAAAGAACTAAGGAAAGAGATAGTCATTTCGAATAACGGCCGATTTAACATTTTCAGACTGGATTCATTTAGTGTGCTCTGAGCCTAATATCCTCCTTTAGCTTGATCCGGGCAACTTTACTTATCTAACGAGATTTCGATAAAACAAGCCTTTGTTCGATTATTTACTCGCCGTATTATTTTTATATTTGCATGTTTAGAGCATGCGCACACCTGTAACTAAACTATCGAACAACTGTTTAGTCTCGCTTTGATTCCTATGAGCTAATATGGAGGAGCACATTATTTGATTACTAGATAGTTGTGTAACTACATAGTTGGCTGCAAAACAATCGACAGTCGCACAACTGTCGTGCGATAGTTTAGTCCAAGGTGTGCGCCTGCTCTTAAATGTTTGGTTTTATAATATTTAGTTTATTTTGTATTATTGAAATGTCCAAATAAAATATATTCGGATATAAGTTTTATAACATCGAGTTAACGACAAGTTTTGATTGTTTTTTGACCGACTTTCCAAAAGAAGGAGGTACTCAATTCGTCGATATTTTTTTTTTTCTAAAGTAACGTTAAATCTAAAGGCCGCTACAGCCTGCTTGGGCAATTGTACAGTTAAGCTGATTACTACTACTATTGATAGAAGTGCGCGTATTTTTTACTTATTGAAAAAGAGTCAATAGAAAAAATAGACTATAAAAGTAAAAAGAATTAATTTACTTTTCTATAGGGCTTTTGTAAAATATCATCAAAACATTTTTTTAAATAGGCTAAGTGATTCTTAACTTGGTGTTAAACACCTCGGTTGAAGTCAACTTGAGGAATATTTTATTAAGATGAACATTGAATGAAAAATATTCGAGTACCTTCATTACCGTAAGCGACAGCGCAAAGGACAGTTTCAAGATCTCTTTACATTTAAATTTCGAATCGTCCAACATTCATTAATTCCGAGATTAACAAAAACATACCCTCACTTGGAAATAAATTAAAAATAACTTTTTAAATTGGAATGAATATTACGCAGGACTTTAGTGTATAGGGATGATTTTTTTAATATAGAAACGAGTCATTTTTTTATGATGTTTATTTTCTCTTATTTATGCTATAGAGAAACACTTATTAAGTCCTTTAAGACATTGCTTAATACTCAATGTACCACTGTACGAACGATGTACAGTTGCGGAAGTACGCAGTGTTTAACTTCAGAAAAAATGCTTTGTTAATTACACCGAGACAAACTACACCTCTTCCTACATATAACTAGATGTTGCTCGCAACTTCGCATGTGTGATATTTAAAAAATCTAGAAAAAACACAGCCTTACTCAGTAATAAGGTAGCTTTTTAATGGTGCAAGAATTTTTGAAATCGGTCCAGTTTTTGAGTTATTCCAAATACATACACAAAACCAATATTCCAAAAATAGAAATCTTTTCTCTTTAAAATATTAGTATAGATAGTTTAGATAGCAGTGAGTGCACGAAGGGATAATAATAAAAAGAAACTAGCCGTGTCACTAACCGACTTTTTTCCGTAAATACACATTTATAAGCTGCTTTGTATTGGTTTTTGTTTCGCGTCTCGTTTCAAAATTTACAAACGATTGTAGCTTTTAAGGAACATCGCCATTTTCCCCGATTGTACCTAACAAATTTAGTCAACGAAGAGTTTTAAATCTAAATTACAAACTATTGGTATGTTTTAAAAATTCGCTTAAAAGCAATATCGTTCTTTGCTTGCTATCTTTTAACTATGACATTTTCACACGCGATTATTTTGTAGTAGGTCAAAATATGTCAATTTGACTAATAAAAAACATCGTTTGTCCTAAAAATAGCAACTAACTACCGTGACGTTTTACTTTGAATTCAAATAAATCGGTTCGTTACGTTTGTACGTTAGTTAAATTGACCGAAGTGTCAATGGAGCCTGCGGAATGGTAAACATTTTTATATGAACACAATAAGTTTGTTATTTTTTTATCATAAAAATCATAAGTAAAAGGAGATAGATGGTGCGATGTTAACACATAAATAAATTTGATACCGGGGTTACAAATCGCATTGGACATCTACCTTTTAATATCAGACTGTTTACATATTACCTTTGATTAAAATCTTCAAGTTAGAAAACAAAAAGTAGCATATCACGAAAATGTATAAAAATGCGTAATGATTTTTTTATTATTTTTCCCTTCAGTAAAAAACAATTATACATTTTGTAATACGTTTTAAAAATAAGGCTTTTAAGGGTTAAATATCGTGAAAATCACTTACGAATATAATAGATTTTAATGCTCTATTACCGATAAATAAAGATTGTGTTAATATTCGATGTTTTACAATGAAATAGGAATATCCACCTCGAAGGACCATTATTTTACATTAACTTTAGAATGTCTTCTATTCAAAATATTCACGAATTATTGAAAACAAGCTTTCGCACGCGACTCCGACCGATGGAATTTAAAAAACCAAAACTGAGAAGCGTATGTGTTCTTCCAGACTACCCATTACATCTATACCAAATTTCATTGAAATCTGTTCAGCTTTTTAGGCTACAAGCTCTAACAAACATCCATCCATCTAAACTTTCACATTTATAATATTAGTAAGATTAAGGTGTAGTTCTTTTAACACATTAAATGTTAATCTAGATCCTGCTTGTTAATCTAGATTTTTATAAATATGCAAGTCAAATTAAAACTTAATGGCTAAGTAATAGGAAGTATTCAACGCTAAAAACATGTAACAGTGAAAAATAAAAATAGACCAATTTCACAAACAATTTATTGCACGCTAGACGAGGCTAACCTTTTGACCGCCTCTTGCATATTTATGACATCCATGAAAAAAGGTAATTGAAATGTAACACTATTGCGGATGAATTCAGCGAATTTCAATTGTTTTATGTTTTAGTATTCCCTTCCTTATGTAATTATTTGGAGTGTTTATGTAACAGTGTATTACGACAGTTAATATGGGTCGTTGAAATTAATAAAATGTATACATAAAAATACAAGAATTAAAAATTGATCGGCAGAATAAAATAAAAATAAATTACTTGGACTCTTTATTAAGAACAAAACTATACTATGAAAGTTTTATTAAAAGTAAATAAAATCTAGTGTTTATCTCATTTTAAATTATACGACTTTAATAAGTTATTACGTAAAAACAAATTAATTAAAAAAACAGTTATTAATTAATATATGTGAAAGAAAAAGTGTAACATAATTTTTAACGCTAACTTTTAGAAACAATACGTCATGTATATTTTATTTTTTAAATGTTAACGAAAAGTTTTTTCAACTTAGTTTCGTAACTTTGTACTGTGAAAGGCATGTCCCAACTTACCTGAGAGCGCTTACTTTAAATGCCAGCACCAAGTACCACTTGAGCGTTGCACAGGAATTAAAAAAAATAATTAAAACCGCTGTAAGATGTACGCAAACTTCAGTAACGCATGCAACTACGACGCGTCTTTACACTGGGGCGTCTCTAACACGACTGAATAACCCTGCCAGCGGAATTACCTGACAAATATAAAATGACCCCTATGTTATATCCGTATCCCCCTGGGAGATCTAAGTTTATTGCCTCAGCGGGGGACGGGGAAGGTCAAATGATTCTGGTTCATTAGGGGCGATGGGCCGTTTTATGCTGTTTATATTCGCTGATAGATTTTCGAGGGTCGGGTCTTGAATGCTTTTTTGTTTATTTCTATGGCTAATTACATACAATACATAAATGACAATAATTAGAGTTGATTTTTGTATTAAATAAACGAAAGATATCTTATGCTAAATTATAATTTACATAAATATTATAAAATATTACTTTTGCTTTCATGCATTTTAAAGGGGTTTACGTAAGAGGAAGTTATAACTTTAAAGGAGTTTTTATTGGTCGTTAAATACGATGTCTTTTTTACGTAAAGTTGCCCTTAAAGTTATATTATTAATCCGACATAAAAGAACAAAGTTACTGCGTTATAAAAATGCTTATAATAAAAATATAAAATGAAAAACTGAACTTAAAAAAAGTATTCTTTGAGGCCTAATTTTAGTCCCTTTCCTTTTCCACCCCTTTCTTAAGAGGAAAGGATGAAAAGGAAAGGTGAAAAAAGGGAAATATCCTCTTTATGTGCGTCTCCTCCTCCGTCAATTAAGAGAAGGCAACGCATCTGCAATTGCGGATGTTTATGGGCAACGGTCGCTTTCCATTTCGGTGGAATCAGGCGGCTCGCTCGTTTGCCACCTTATATTATTATAAAAAAATCTCCCTTACCTAAGGACCCCTTCCGCTCCCTTGATAATCAACAAACTTCCATTCATTCATACATCCATCTATACTTCGCTTTTAAAACATTAAGATGTGGTATTAAATCAATTAATAATCGAAATAAAAAAACGTTTGGTGTATTTTTTTTATATAACAAGGTGGCAAACGAACAAGTGACCACCTGAAACGGCCAAAATGGCGAAGCGACCGCTGCCCATGGACATCCGCAATTGCAGATGCGTTGCCTACCCTTATATGCACGTTTTTAGTTGATTTTAAAACAATTTTACAATGTTGTGGATATTGCAATGTTAGCTGTCAGCGATGTTGACTGGAAGCGCTTGGAGTGCATCGCGAAGTGTCGCCACTCAGAATAGATAACTTAATAGGTCAATATAATTGGATATTAGGTCAGGGAATTGATTCGTGATGTAACTGTAGTCTGCTGTAACTAATATGTTTTGTTTGTTTCGTTTTAACCAAACCAAATAGATCAAAGATTTTCTCATTTCGTATAACAGTTTTCTTTTTTTAAGTCAATTTATTTCTCATAACATACATACATTGTAAGAAATAAGTTACCTAAGTGAGGGGGCACGACATTGACTAAACTATCGCAAAACAGTTGTCCGATTGTCAATTGTTTCGCGGCTAATTCAACCGTTTAGTTGCACAACTAAAAATCGAGTAGTGTGCGCACCTCTAAATAAGCTCTTAGAAATCCATATGCGACTAAACAGTTGTGCGATAGTTTAGTCGAAGGTGTGCATACTCTTAAAGTTAAGAAATCCATTAATTGTAATCCTTCCAAAAAGTCTAAGTAAATTTACCACATCATTAAACGCGTTCGAAACACCTTACATACTTTGTTAAAGTTTGAGAATAAACAGTCATGCTAAGTATACGAAGTCTACATCACGCCTAAGTTACCAACTTAGAAAGAAAACCTATCAAAGTACGAATAGGGAATTAAGCGAAATATAAGCAAGGAACAATTTTGGCTTACATCCAACATTGTAAAACCATGTAGTTATAACAATAGATTATGGTGTTGATAGCAAAACTATAAACAAGAAAAAAACTTAAAAAAAAATAGTTTTAAATTATAATAAAAAATGCATCTCGCATTTTGACTTTAAAATACACCGCCTTTTGAAACGAAGTGTAACATTATTGTTACACTACATACTGATGCATAAACGCTCGTCGCGTAACATGTTACATTACTTCTTAGATCGATTAGTAACCATTATAGTATGAACTATTTACTATTGATACACGACTTTAATAATCTCGGTCAAATCGACGATTAAAATTGCGGCGCATCAAACGATACGATAAACAACCGCTCAAAGTTCTACTTTCTAAGGTTTTAAGTTATCAAGTTAATAAAAAAAGCCAAATTTGGACTTACTATAGTCTACGTTGGTACCATCGACCATTTTGTCTAAATGTTAGATAACTAGTAAATTATCGATAGAATAATAAAATATTAACACCTGAAACTAAATCCCACAACTGTTTAGTCTCGCATTGATTCCTATGAGCTTATATGGAAGTTTTTAGTTGTGCAACTAAACAGTTGTATTGTCTGCGAAACAATCGACAATCGCACATCAGTTGTGCGAGTTTAGTCAAAGGTAAACCGCTCTTACTAAATTCAAGGTATACTTACGCTAATTAAATCCTTAAAAAATTAATATCTGGGCTCTGTCGACATTGGTTTAAGACTGCTGCTCTCAAGTAACTTTTGTATTTGGATGTCAGCCAAAGTATCTCTGAACGAACAAATATCATCGAACGCTCCTAATGGCTTCCGAAGCAGAAAGTCTGGCGTCTGTTGAGTAAATTTTAACTGCGGACTATGATTGTTATTGCCGGGGATTTGGAGATCGCTGTTCCTCGTTTATAACGCGTTTACGACGGTGTTAAATGTTATTAAAGAATTTGTTGCAAATTGTTGTACTATATTGTTTAACATTTACTTTGTTATGTTGTTATTGTGAATGTTGTTATCTACGTTTCAATAATTCTTGTACAAGTATTACGTACAGCTGATAAGTAAATAAAGTCTGTTTAAGAATATGACATAAGGATGGATATCAGAGTTGTAAAAGCCTTTTTATCGGAAGTGTATCCATGAAACGTATCGCCGTCGTATGTAATAGTATATTTCAAACTTTTCGATACAATCCCACGTGAATTACATTCTAAGTGACTTTTATAAATGTACTGTTGGAAACAGTTTGACAATATACTACACAAACTTGTGGATAACAACCCACTGTGGCTGCTTAAACTTGAAATATGATAGCTTGAATTTAGAACGATATTCAATTGTTTGTTTATTCGCTATCTCATATTTGTTACATTTTCGTAGCAAGACGTAGACCGTGCTACGGTTAATCGTTCTTGGGGCTTATCACGAATATTAGTGAGAATGACTTCATAACGTCATCGACATAATATTTATGCAGCGTGTACCGGGAATAAAACATAACAACAAATCTAGACATATTGTCGATGTCGTTATTGCTCGCAACTGTCACGCAAATATTGGTGAAATACCCTTTGATTTAACCGCTCTGTCCAGTTTTTAATTAGCTATAAACTATACATATATATTTTTTTATTTCGTAAAGTTTACTAGTAATGTGTTTATCGCATTTGAAGCGTAACTTTCAAGTACTCGCGTGGCTCGCACGGCATGTAGGGCAAGATTAAATTGCTTTGGCGACGGCTTTTTTATACGGAAGGATGGACGGACAGCAGGAAATTGCACAAGACTGTTACAGTACGTATCCACATATTCGTATATCTGATATATGATTTAAGAAGAAATGTATGTTAGAAAACTTAGCGAAATACAATAATATTTAAGTATGAATAACAATACTTTTAAACAGAAAAATACACACATATTAAACGCAAAATTATTAAATTGGAGGCGTGTAATTGCCGTTTGTATCGAGTTTCGAATATTAGCACAACCCTTCATTTTAATAAAATAGAAACATGGTAATTTAGTTCTCCTTTTTTTTCATATGTTTTTCTATAAAGATGTTTCTTTTATGACTGTCATAAAAGTACATACTCTCCATTGAAGTCAACGTAATAAAAATTACACGATTAAAAAGTAACTCTACATTATTATTTATCTAATTTAAAACAAGAATGTCTTACGGTCTTTCACAAAACGAGTATAACTTTTTCTCAAAGGCTGGCAACGCAGGATAGTTCCTCTGGTATGAAGAAGTCAATGGGCGTCGATGTATTCCACCGTTAGCATGCTTCTTTCTCTTATGAAACCCTGGTCATCCTATACATAATTAAGTGTGATGATTTTTATATTTTGAATTTATTAAAGAACATTTTAATTACCAGGAAATTAATACGAAATCCATTTGTAAAACTATTAAAAACTTCTCGCGCCAACTTTGATTTTAATCTCAACTTTCGTTATGAATAACAATGCTTACAGTATTCCGATATCAGAGTATTTGAAAGCTTTGAAAGCTTAATTGTAAACTTAAAACAAATAAAAAATCAGAAGCGGGAATGAAATTTTAAAACGATTGTAAAAGCATTTTGTATTTGGGATACAATTTTGCATTGAAAAAAGGTTTTATTACATTCCTTTTAATTATTTAAGTAATAATATTAAAATAAACATTATGAAATGTTCGTTCGGAGATACTATAGCCCGGCAGTCGGTCTAGATGTAGGCCACTGTAGGGCTTATAGTGGGTAAAACCCCTATATAACCATGCTTCCATCCAAAAGCCGGGTAACTATTTAATTTTCTATGAAACTAAAAAAAGAACAGACACTCTAATCTAATCTTACTTATCATTTCATATTAGAACGGTAGAAAATTAAAGAGTAAAGGGGTAAGCATGGTATGGACATGTTTTGAGGAGGGATGAATCGCATGTAGCAAGGAGAAAGTTATAGAAAGAGATGGATTGCGTGAAAGGTGACATGATCAAAAAGGGAGTGATGACTGAGATGACGTATGATAGAGTTATTTGGAGGACAAAAACCTGTTGCGCCACTACGGAAGTAGGATAAGGAGGATGATGATGAAAAGTTTTTACAGATTTTTTTTTTCAGGAAACATAAATATTTTTACTACTACTACCCATTAGTATGACATTTGAATAGTGAAATTGAAATGTCAAGTGCCAGGTATTCCAGTAAAGTTTGA